GCTCACTGCAAGCTCCGCCTCCCCAGTTCACGCCATTCTCCTGACTCAGCCTCCTGAGTAGCTGGAACTACAGGCACCCGCCACCTCGCCCGGCTAATATTTGTATTTTTAGTAGAGATGGGGTTTCACGGTATTGATCAGGTTGGTCTCAAACTCCTGGCCTCAGGTGATCCACCTGTCTCAGCCTCCCAAAGTGCTGGGATTACAGGTGTGAGCCGCTGCACCCGGCCTCCAAACCTCCAGTTCTGACTAACCCACAGGATAGGGGCACCCATGTGCTGTCTCACGAACTAAGGCCAGGCAGGGAAGGCCCCCGGGGTGGCCCACCAGGAAGCCAGCACTGCCCCCCAGCAGAACCAACCCCAACACTGGCGGTTTTCTGGCCTCCCCATCCCTACCCCCACGAGCGAGCAGAGTTTTTGTTAACCATCAGCATCACCCCTTCTCTGTCAGGGTGGGCAGCAGGCAGAGAGCGGTTGCATTTAACCATTTCCTGCCTGGCGCTGTGTAGAAGTAGAGATTGGGCAGATGTTTTCCCCGTAATTCAGAGTCTGGGCTAGGAATCTGCAGGCCACACAGGGAGCCTGTGAGCCCAGGCAACCGGAATGGGAAGTGTGCTGGGCAGGCAGGGAGAAGACGAGGAACATCAGCCAGCTCAGCTTTGCCATCTCCCCTCCCACTCAGGCTCCTGGTCACCAGCCCCAGAACCGAGAGGACACCAGTGCCCCTCCATCGATGCTCCCTCGTGCAGGATGAAATCCTTTGCCATTCTGTAGGTAAGTCAGCCCCAACTCCAGGGAATGCTCCCCAGGACCCCCTTTCTTGCAAAAACCCCCTCATCTAAACGCAAACCATTCCAACCCCAGCCCTGCCTAATCCAGCCCGTTCACCCCTAGACTCTAGCATCACCCACAGCAAGATTCCATCCCCATGTCCAGTCCCACCCCAACCCAATCCTAACCCCCGGCCACCTTTCCTGATGCAATCCTAGCAACAGAAACGATCCCTACAATGTATTGTGTGTCTACCGTGTGCCTGGCAGTCCTCTGAGTCATTTAGTTTTCATCCTCACCACCACACCATTTACAAGAGAGGAGGCGACAGTTCAGATAATGTAAGTCTTTTGGTTACCAGTATGACAAAGGTCACACTTTTCGTGGTGGCTGATTCGAAACTCTAACCCTTCCTGAGGCAACTAACTCATCACACCTCAGTGGAATTCACCCCCTACCTATTCAGTCTAACTGTGGCCATCTTAGTAAGTAGCATGGGGCCTGGCATGTATTAGGTACTCAATAAATGCCATTTGAATGAATGAATGAATGAATGAACCTGATTCATTCATTAACTAAACTCTATCCATCCTACCCAATCAAACTCAAGTCATAGATTTACTGACAACCTCTTGGCTATATATATATATATATATATGTAGAATCCTTGTCTGAGGCGGGGTGCCATGGCTTATGTCTATAATCCCAGCACTTTGGGAGGCTGAGGCGGTGGATCACTTGAGGTCAGGAGCTCAAGACCAGCCTGGCCAATATGGCAAAACCCTATCTCTACTACAAATACAAAAATTAGTGTGGTGGTGTGCACCTATAATCCCAGCTATTTGGGAGGCTGAGGCAGAAGAATCGCTTGAACCCAGGAGGTGGAGGTTACAGTGAGCTGAGATTGCACCACTGGATTCCAGTCTGGGCAACAGAGCAAGATTCTGTTTTAAAAAAAAGAAATCCTTGTCTGAGAGGCACTCAGTTGAACAGACTCAATCTCAGTCCAGCAGGGCTGACTGAGTGATTCCGTGACTCAAAAATAAAACAGTATCCTGAGGCTGACAGTGGGGAGGAAGAGGAAGGAGCTACCATTTCTGCCCCTGAGGCTGTGGGGCAGTAAGATTCCCCAGGATGGGTCTGTGAGGCTGGCGGTTCCTCGGTCCACACAGCCAGTCCCGCGGTTTCTTGCACATTCCTTGGCACTTTCACACCCACCAGGCAGTGCTTCTCCACCCACCTGTCCGACCAAGCTCACTGAGGAAAAGCAGCAGGTATCAGCTATTGCTGGACGCCCATCACCACACTCACAAGGCTGGGCACAGAGCAGACGTCAATGGACATGTGCTAAATGGGCCAGCAGATGAGCCCCAGGGATGGGCACTCAGCCCTGAACATGTCCAGTCCTGACCTTGAAGTCCCCCGTTCTAGCTTTCTAGAGGCTTCTCTGAGTGGCCAACAGTTCCTCATAGGGGCCTGACCAAGGTGGCTCTGTGCCCTCTGACCTTGGCTTTGGGTCTCTGCCGCCCTCCCTCCTCCTTACTGGGTTTAACTTTTTCAGAGCATGTCCCCATCCCCAAGGGGAGGCACCGGGGAGTGACCGTTGTCCGGAGCCACCACGGCGTTTTGGTGAGTGCATGGGCAAGAGGGAGGGCCTTAGGGAGGCTGGTGCTAACCCTCGTGGTTGACCCTGGTGTTGAGAGCGGTTCCGACTGGCATGCTATTTCCGAGACTGAGTAGTCTAGCGTCTCCCTGGTGGCAGCCCCAGGGATGACTGTAGCTCCGACCACCTGTGCTGATACCAGGGCTGACCGAGGTGTTCCCTGTGACCCAGCACACTCATGCAGGTGTCAGCCTCAGCCTTGACCCCAGCACAGACCCCTACCCCTGGTGAGGGGTGGGCCAGTCACTCCTGTGCCCCCTGCCTGGTTGATCCACTGAGTTCTAGAATGGGGGTGAGAACGTGGCTGTAGCTCGGGAACGCGGGGGTGACCTGGTGTTTCCCTACCCTCTCTTCCCTCCCCTAGATATGCATTCAAGTGCTGGCCCGGCGGCCTCACAGCCTCAGCTCAGAACTCACAGGCACCTGTGGCCTCCTGGGCCCTGACCTCCGTCCCCAGGCTCAGGCCAACTTCTTCGACCTTGGTAAGGATTGGACATTCACTGGCCTTGGATAGCTCTAAAGAGATCTCCTTGGTCTCCAAGAAAAGGCACCAGCTCACGGCAAATGCAGCGGGACACAGGCCCACGGTGGAGCAAGGCAGGGTTGAGGCATCGCATAAAAGGAATCAGGGCAGAACCACATGTGAGCGTGCTCAGGTGAGGACGGAGCCTTTCTGACTCTCAGCTCTTCCACGTATGTTTTTAAAGAAAATCTCCTGGATCCAGATACACGTGTGGACACTGGAGACTGCTATAGCAACAAAGAAGGCAGCCGGGGAGAGGATGTGAACACAGCCAGGTGGCGCCGGGCTCTGGAGAAGGAGGAGGAGGAGGAAGATGAGGAGGAGGAGGAAGACGAGGAGGAGGAAGCTGGTGAGAAGAGCAGATCTGGGTTGCTCTGAGTCTATCAGAGCCAACCCCTAGGCTGGCAGCCTCCAAGGGTGAGGGGTGCCTCAGTCTGAGATGGGGAGCAGTGGCTGAACTTTACAGGCCTGACCAGTACCAGCTCCACCCACTCTATCTTATAAATGGGGAAACTGAGGCTCAGAGAGTGGTAGTGATGGGAATGGCTCACACAGCAAGCAGAGCCTGACCAGGTTCTAGCTCTCTTTTTGAAGGGGGAGACAAAAGCTTCTCTCTTGGGGCCAGGCATGGTGACTCACGCCTGTAATCCCAGCACTTTGGGAGGCCGAGGTGGGCGGATCACTTGAGATCAGGAGTTCGAGACCAGCCTGGCCAACATGGTGAAACCCCGACTTTACTAAAAAATTCAAAAATCAGCCAGGCATGGTGGTGTGCACCTGTAGTCCCAGCTACT